GTGGGGAGGGGCTGGTAAGCTGTTTGGGAGCTGGGAGAAGCTGCCTGGTCAAAAAGCTGTGGAGGGAAGTCCTCTGTTTGAGCTACAAAGGATTGTACTGCAGGACCAGAGACCTGCAATGGGAATTCACTGTCTGCATGTGGAGGTGCTGAGGGAGAGAGACACTCCAGAGAGGGAGTGGGCTGTGAAATCCCAAACCTACATGGATGTATGAGGGGACACTAATCCCCAGTGTTTGCAGGAGGTGTTTTTTTTCAGAAGGAAACTAAGGAAAAGAAGCCTTTACCTGCAGTGGCTGACTGGAGACTTGTTTTGCTGAGTTACCAAGAAAGACCAAGGAGTCTACTTTCCCTGGAGCAGCAAAAGCCTCGCCTCTGCCATTTAGTGGTGGATCATAGTTAAAGCTGTGTTGCCATTTATTGTTATGAGAAGGGAATTATGACCAGAGGAAAATCAACCTGCGTTATTGGGGAGGGGGGGAGAGGCAGGGTTATAACCAGGTGAATGTAATTGCTGAGGTTCTTTGATGCAAGCAGGACCACCCAGTGTGGTGGAATTATTCACCTGATGGTGCAGTTTGTACATTTTATTAAAATTGTTGGTTTTATTATTAACTATTCTTAATAACATGTTTTTCTTCTTTTGCTTATTCATTTATTTTCTGTATATAGTTGTACATAATAAAGAAATCAATGTGTTCATTGGGTTCAGAGTAAATTTCTAGGCAGTGAGGGTGAGGAACACGCCTCTCCATCAGACACCTTAGTCAGCAGATCTGCCTGAGGGGGGTTCTCAGAGCTACTGCCACCCTGAGGGTCTGAAATCTGGCACATCACTCAGCCTAGCATGCCAGCACAGGTTACAAGTATAACATGTGTGTGTATATAACAGATACAGAGAATATGGAACACCAGTTATTTGGACAAAAACTTAAGTTATTCAAAATGTGTAGTCCACATACATATTCATTTTTTATTCATGACCGTAACCTATGCTCTAGATTGGAACTCTTTAGTTATCAGTGTCTGTTGGGTGTAAACATGAAGCATAATCACAATGACCCAACTCTCAGTTTCTTTTTCACTGTTGAATGCAAGCTGTAACAAAGAGGAAGGAGGGTGGGTCATGAAATATATATATATATATATATATATATATATATATGGACAACATAGCTCAAAGATCTTTAAAGTTAAATGATTTTTCTTTTCTCTTTGTATGCCAGTCCATATTCTATTTTTGGCGTCTTACAAGTAGGTATCTAATCTAAGGTGCCCAGAGCACCAAGTGTAAGTAAAGAAAGCATGCAACACAGCTGTGTTGAAAGAAGTATGCGATCTTGAGGCTTCTATGATGGAACAGTGCTCAGTAAAACTATGAATTAATTTGTTAATTGCTTGCATTACAGATGTATTTCTCAGTGATACTGCAGTAGCTTCCGTAGAAAATACCAAGAAACAATATGGGTATTTTAAACTAGCTACATCATAACACAGAGCACAATGAAGTCCAATGTTTATTTCAGTTGTTTGGGGCTGTGTAACAGGGCAGTCTTTCCCTTCAAGAGGAACAGTGATCCCTCTTAAGGAGGCCCATCTTTGGAGCATTTGAGTAATGAAGAAATATCCCAGTGGGAATTTAAGAGCTCCCAGAAGACAAAGCAAGAGAGGAAAGGAAGCAAGGTATGATGGAAACAACTTCGTAGAAGGAGGGGCCTGATTGCTGTGCTGGGGCCAGAGCAGAAAGGAACTCCCCTCCTAATATCTGAGAGATGATAGGGGGATTTTATTTATTTAAAGCCTGAACTTTTCTTCAGAGCATTGGCTGAGGAGCTCATAAGGGAGCAAATTCTCTTGCAAAAGCCAGCAGGCTGAATGGCCTGCTTACAGGCTGAAAATTGGTCAGTAATAGCTGTCAATAATCTTGGGGAAATAATATAGCGGTAGTTAGCAAATAATAGCTAATAGCAAATAAAAAGCTAATGATCACCATCCATAATATTTATTCTCCCTTCTTTGAATAAGGTCTAGGGGGAAATACAGGTAGGTAAACCTGTTAGTTCAGGCAAAACTTTATGACTTTATCTCAGTGGAAAATGGTGTGAGATTGATTTACCATGTGGCTGAATGCTTGAATTTTTTCAACCTTTTTTTTAACTGAAGTAATTCAATGCTGACAGAGGACTACACTGCCCTATGTTTAAACAGAGGGCCTCAAAATGCAAGCAGATCCCCACTGAAGTTCCATGGAGCATGTGGCACTAGAACTGGGGTAAGAAATCTGACAACCACCCTAAAGATTTTAGTTACAACTGAATGTGAAAAAGGAAGTCTTTTGATTGGCAGTTGGTGCCCAGAAATGGTGACCAAGTGTACCTTAATGGAACCAATGAGAAATATTGCCTTTTTCAGAAAATGTAAAGTAGGGATTTCAAAATGGCAGGAATGGCACTTTTTTTTCTTTGGCATCAAGAAATAGTTGCAGCAGAAAAGCCTTCCCTTGAATTATCTGGAACCTCCATTAAGGAGCCTGTTACGTGTGTATACTGTAGTGTTTATGGAAAATTTGTGCCCTGGTAGCTGCAACATAGTACACTATTGCTTATTTACCTTTCCTAAAGTGGGGGCATCAGTTACAGGTATCTACCATGAGGCTTCATGACAGCCTCAAAAATTAGTAATGCTAAGGCCTATATAGATTAGGAACTCTATAAAATAATTTAGAATGTGTAGATTTTTAAGATGATAGATGAGAAGAAGAGATTGAATGTAGCAATGGAGGATTTCCCTCTAAAGCATGCTCCAAACAAGTGGCTATCTGTTTACGTATGAATTCTATACATTCTAAAAGGCCCATACTGGAATATTACATTGGCAAGGGCCTGAAAGTGATAGGGTAGGGTGTGAAGGAGTATACGCACCCTGTTGTTCTCTATAGTACCTCATGTGGAATAATTCCTTAAAAATCTCTTCCTGATCTGAATAGATCATGAGCATATTATTTAGGGGAATTTCTTGGTGAACCCTGTGCATTCTTTTGTGAGTCAGATAAAGAATAAAAAGAACATTTAAAGCTATAGTTCATGAAGTTGAAGTATATAGTGGCACTGGTATTGCATGGCCACTTGAATGTGGGAAATACCAGCTGTGTCTACATGAGATGCTTTACTGTGCAGTAGACTAATCTACTGCACAGAAATGCATCGTTGTCTATGTGCAGGTTCTTACTGCGCAGTAAATTAGTCTACTATACAGTAAATTTCATTAATTGCACATGTAGACACATCTACCTAGTACCAAAGGCAATGTAGGTCCTGGGAATGATGACTTGATGTTCGCAGAGCTAGATCAGAGAGGATATTTGGGTTTTATAACACTTGTCTCCCCTTGCTGCCATACATTGCAAGTAATGGATGGTGCAGCACCACAAAATGGAGCTTGACGTGGCATGATTTCACTTCTTGAAATGTTTCTTATCTGCCCTGCCAGAGAGAGAAATTGAAACCTTGGATGATGGGACCCTGGAGCAGGTAGACCCTGAGACGATAGGAACTCTCCAAGAGAGGTGACCTGAGGGTCTGAAATTGTTTTCAGAATGTGGTCATTTAAAAACATCTGCAACTGAGCTTCTTTTGGTTTTTAAGTCATACTCAGCTGCATAATAGGCAATCCCATCTGCTCACAGGATACTTTAGAAAAGTCCAATAACAAGTAAATGGCCTTATCCCCCATAAGAATAATTTGGAATCAAGAGGGTTAGTTTAAGTTCTCTGTGAGATCTTTTTGGTGTAGTTACTTGCAAAGATTTTCAACTTGTCAGTAAAGACAAGAGGTGAATTCCAGCACCTAGTGAAGTCAATAGCAAATACTTACTGCTTCCATTTTGGCCACAATTCTACCCTTTCTAAGGGTGCATCTACATGTG